CCCGCCACCCCGCGCACCCCTTACCCGACGTCTTTGATCTCCACCTTGCTGGGGTCCAGCTCCACGTACTTCTTCTCCTCAAACACGCGGGTGATGGGGGGTCCCAGGACAGTGTGCAGGTACGGCATCCCCGTCACCTGCCGAGGGACCACACAGGGAATGGTGATGGGGGGCATGGCCACAGGTTGGGCACCCGACACCCCCAGACTCCCCGATAAGGGTCACCCAGGGGATTTGCTCCAACCTCCCAGCCCCAGGGGAAGACACAGCCCCACCAGCCCTCCCAGTACGCCCCCCAGGAACCGGCCCCAGTGCGGGGAGCCCAGAGCCAGGGTGACCTGGGAAGAGCAGGTTTCGGGCGGTGTGACACCTTGAGGAAGGACTCCATTGACTTTGAGGCCAGGGAGTTGCTCCGGAACAAAGTGTTGGGCTCGCCTGCAAAACAGGAGAGGGTCTGTGGGCAGCTGCAGTCATGGGGGGCATTTACAGGGGCTGTGCCTTCCATCCCCGGCCATTTCCAGAGCAGTTACAGGGATTTCCTAACCTCAAACCACCCACTCCTCCACCAACCTCAGCCTGTGAGTTGCTCAGGATGAACCCAACAGGTTCCCACCTGCAGCACAGCATGACAGCTGAACCTCAACCATCACTCCAAAAAAATCACCGCGCAAGGTCCCGGAGGTTTTACAGCCCCAGAAGATGGTCGGAAGCCTCCGGCTCCGCTCCCTGCACCAGCCTTACAGGGCTTGGCCAGCTCCAGCTCGAAGAGCAGGTCCAGGAACTCCTTGACCAGCCCTTGGCCCAGGAAGAGTTTGACCAAGTTGATGGCGACCTCCTGCCGGCACTCGGCCGTGGTGGTTTCATCCAGGAGGGTGACCAGGTGCACTTGGCCGTCCTGTGCAGAGAGGCACCACGACGTGATGACCCGAGGGAGACGCACGCCCCGGCAGAGAGCCGGAGGAAGGTGGGTGCCCCGGCAGGGCTTTGCACGGACCCCTCACCTGGCGCCCCGACTTCACCTCCTGGCACAGGAGCTGGACCAGGGGCTGGTAGCAGTGGTTGGGCAGCACCGTCTCGTCCCGCAGCATCACCTGCAGCTGCAGCGAGCCCAGGCTGCCTCGGCGGCGCCTGCAGGAGCACAGGGTGGGAGGGTCGGGGGGTGGAGAAGTACTTCACCAAGCAGGAGGTGGCCCGACAGCCGGGGAAAGCCTGGGCAGGTGGGGCTGCCCTGCACTTGCCCCCCCACCTCCCAGACAAGGGCATTTCCAGGAGCCACCCCTCCAAAGGGATGATGCTTCCTAGGAACAACCGGGGAATGCCCTGAGGGTACCGGGACCACCCCGGCACACCCCAACACCCCCGTGCTGAGACTCACTCGTCCTCCCTCGGCTTGGACTTGCTCGGACGCACCCCGC